TTATTTTATTTTTAAATATGGGCAGTGACATTAATTTCGGCATAATTGCAGTGTATTAGGCACATGAAGGCTGTTTAAGGTATAATATTTTAGCTAAAAATTAATTTTTACACATAAATTTCAAGGAATTGTACCAAGAAAAGGTAACATAATTGTTCTACAACTATAAATTAAATTTTTTCACATTTTTAAAATAGCCTATTATGGTCTAGATGAAGATACGTATCTGTAGAATAGTAGTGGCACCTGCGACCCCTTGGAAGGCTGATTTGACAGAAGACAACGTGGGAACAGCGTGGTTCCAAGTTCGATGAGTATATATGCCCCGATTCTTCCTAAAATGAACATTATAAGATGATAGAAAAATCGCAATGGCGTGACCTTATGGTGACCCCGCTACTCACCGTAGCGGACGATCACCGCGGGTTCACGCTTAGCGAGCCACAGGGCCGCTACTCCGTTTACTCGCGTGTAGCGCACCGCTCCGCGCGCGCTCAACTAATAAGGCGTTTAGCGCGGCGCGGCAAATAAACAGTGTTCTAATGCAAAAATACACGACACTTTATTGCCTCTGGCGGCACCTCAAACAACAGTACAACGTCCGCTCCCGGGACGCGGGTAGCAAAGGCACCCGCACGCGGATGTTCACAATAAGGGGAAAACCGCGAGCACGTCGCAGCTGGCAATGGCGAGTTTTGACACGCCGGTCGGGAAAAGGTCCCTCGCGGCTATGCTGCGCCCTCTCACGATGGCCAATGGGCCTGGTCGCGAGTGTTAGGGCAAACCTCGTACGCGTAGGCCTACGGCAAGTGCGGCTCGTTGTGGTACGACCACTTCAAGCACTAGGCACCGCTGTGGCTTAGTGTACGCTACCGAAGCTAGCACTCAAGTAAACACGCCTGCCGAGGTGCCCAAGGCCACCCCAGGCAGGCTACAATCCGGCGATTGACGCGGACGAAGGATAACACGTGCGGACGAAGGAGGACGCGGACGAAGGATAACTTGTGCTTACCCGGCGCCGACCACGGAGAAGAGAGCGCTCCTTCGGCGCGCGCGTACCGCGTGTCGTGCCCGCACGTGGCGCCATCTATCGCCACGTGGTGTTAACACAGCAGGAAAGCAAAAGGGTGTGGCCGTGTGGCGGAATGCCCGCGAATTGGTCGCGGGCGTGCCTCAGATCCCTACAACCTTTGAACGTTGCTAAACATCGGTGACCCCATAAAAAGTTCTCCTGCCTGCCGTTATAAGCACTTCCTTGCAGCGATCGTGTGAGGCTCAGAGGTGTACACGCCTAAAAAATGGAACGTAGCAAAATCTTTATTAACAAAAAAGAGCACAATATTCTGGCCATGCTTTCGTTCTTTTTGCTTTAGTGAGAAATGAAAGCTTGGCAGTATAACGATGTGACTGGATACAGAACCGCATTTGATTGAACTGCACTTTAATTACCGACACCAACCTCGTGGGGGAGGGGGGGGTGCTCTAAAATAAAGCACAGTATTTTTGTCGCAGTATCTGAGTACACTGCTACACTATTCGAGCTATAACAATAGCGTGCCATGGTTTGCAAAACTTGTACCACTGCACGCAAAGCTAAATTTAGACACTACCTTTGAATGACTAATAACTTTGCCTTTTTGCATGCTATAAAGCTGCTTCCATCATTTTTAGGCTGAAAATATTGCTGTGATGTGTCACTGAATTCTGTTGCTTATGCTTGTATAGCATACTGACGGAAAGCGCCCATTTTTCCGACCAGCTTAGCTCCTTTCAGTGTAGGTCATAATGTTTACACTACCATTTAAAAAAAGTAAATAGTTTCACTTATGTTTTGCTTGGTTGGATTGTCTGTTTGTTTAATTGGTTTCAGCAAAGAAATGAGCCTTTTAAACTACCATTCACCTTTGGTCGTACACACTAGCTTGAAAGCAAGTCAAATTTTTCCTAAGAAATCGTCGAGTGGTGCTTTAAAGCCTTAATGGCTGGTCTCATCGTGACGTTTTCTGTATTCATAGATTTTCTTGTATTTGCAGGCTGTCTCATGGTAAATAATGTTGATGCATCAATACAGGAAGTCCACAATGTCAAAGAAATGGTTGGCTGAAACCTGGGACAAGGAAGGTGGCCGATCGCGCAGCATCAATGACAGAGCATCCACAATTTGCCACAGGTGTTCATGGGAAGAATTTGTGTAAATAAAAAAGGTTTAGTTCCACGTACTGTGACATGAGCTTCATTGATTCTCCTATAGTTCATAGTATCTATGAACTACAGTGGCTGCTACTGGCGTTAGCTGAAATTTTACTTTGGGGGCGGTGGGGTGCAATGATACTTTATTTGTGCGTGGGTTTGTGCTTGGATATTTGTGCGTGGGTTTGTGGGTGTGCTTGCAGTTGTATACAATACAGTAAACCTGCAAATTAAAAAAAAAGGGGGTTAAAGCCCCCCTCAGACTACGCCCTAGTGGCCGCCTGATGGCAAAGTGGTAGGTAATTTTCACCGGGCCAAACGTGGCCCTATGGAGGCTGGCACTCGGCCAGGTCGGCCATTAAGGTGGGCCCTACGTCGATGGCTATAACATCGGCCAGCGTGAGGCCGGTGTCGATACCCATACATGGGCAGACCTTGGCAGCCGACCTATGCCCGACCTCGACCATGTTGGCCAGCGACCTCGGGCCAGCGTTGTGCTGAGCACTTTTGTACCATTGGGCAGATACGTATACACGCCACTGCGGCGTGTGTATAAGCGCATAAACTTCAAGGAGAATAAACTTTTCATTCTATGAAGACATGTGTCTTGCTCTCTACTTTTCTAATCGTCAACCTAGAGGAACGCAAGTTTATATTTTGCACTCGTCAATATTTGGTCCACATTTGATTAGAGTAAAACCGTTCTTTTTTGTTTTGGACAAATTCTGAATGTTGTCGTAAGATGCGGGGTCGGCCTAAAACTGCGTCGTATAACCAAGGTTTTTAATACATTATTCCTATAGAGATTTTGCTGGGACCTAATCTATTTGTCGTAAAATACGGGTCCTTGCAAAACCGGGGGACGTATAATCGATGTTCCACTGTAATTGCTATCGCAATATTAACACATATTTTTTTACTGTTAAATAAGTGTTTTGGGCTAGCTCAGCCTTCAGCTTCCCTTTTGTTTAATTTACACATTTATTATCCCAATTTTCATACTGGACATGCACATAACAAAATCCTCTTTATAACCAATTTTTTGGGGAATTTAACAATTTTGTTATATCGAGGTTCAACTGTATTCTCAAAAGTTCAGTGGTGGCTAATGTCATTCACACTGCAGAAGAAGAAACTGCCCGTTTGTAGTGTCATCGAGAATCAGTGCATGAACAGCAATGCTGACATCATTTTGAACCAAAAGTAAAATCATGAAGTTAACCGTGGCACTGAATTGACGAGAATGGAACAGAAAGAAAGGACACACAAGAGCTGTTCAGTCCTCGACGCTTCAGTGCCGTGCTTGACTTTATGAACATGCTACACAGGCAAGACCCACCCTTGCTAGGAAGGAAAAGTTCAAATGGAGAAGCTCATAAGATCGGCTTGACGAAGGCAACATGAACCAAAAGAGAATGTTAATTAGCCCAGCCTAACCAGTCAGTTAAGCTGGGCTAATTTTTTTTCACACATCTGCTGGCACAGTTTCAGCTATAGTTTGTATTAAATATCTGCTTTCACCTCATGCATAACAAAGTAACAAATATTATGTTACTTCCAGCACATATAATTCTACCATAAAGCACAAAAGCTGGTGTATAGCATGCACCTTCAATTATTCCTTAATTATGATATTTTTGTCCTCTAAATATTCATTTGACTTAAAGTGATGAGGATGCTCAATTATTCTGATGAATCTAGAACTTCATAAAACCGAGAAAGAGATTTGTGGGTCCCTATATCCTAAAAATGGCAAGAAGGGAAAGGTAGAAGCTTGCAATGAAAAAATCTGTAAACAGGGATAGTGTCCAGTTGAGATTTCGACTTGTCTTCCTCAAGGCTGGAATAGAAATAAGGTAGACAAGTCCGCTTGTTGGCTCGGCGAAACCCCTGATTACAAATTTTTTCATTATAATATACTGGTACTTCAAAAAAATTACCGCGGCGTTGTTCCTACCAGCAGTCTATGCCTTTGAATTAAAATGACCAACGCAAACACAGAAGCTATGAAGCCTATGGCTGCATATCTGAAATGTCTGAAAGTGTCGCAAAGACGTGAGACACACTGCGTCCCGGAGATGGACGCTAGGTAAATGGTCAAGTTAGGGCAAGAGCGCCGAAAGATATGCAATGACACAAAGGATGAATGCAGTGCCTTTGGGAGCAGACGGAGAAAGAAAGATGGCAGACTGATGGGAGATGATGGGTCGATGACAGTTGATGGAAAAATAAAATGGGTGATGATGATCAGTTCTACCCACCGCATCAAGCATTACATAACCAAAGTAACCATCCCTGCCTCTAGCCCCATCTGGCATGTAAGAAGCTACCGGTGGTCAAGTTCATTGTTTCATGCATTGGCGGGGCATGAAGCTTCGTGAAATCAAAGCGAGGGCTGCAACTTTGACACCTAGATGTTTAACCTGATAGTGTTAGAGGGCACATTCAATAGAAAACCTGTCTGTGTGGGTCTTGCCCGCATTAACTTCACACACCTGTTTGCCTACACACTTTTTGCACTGTCCAAGACGCCCTTCCAAGTTCCTTGCCCGCACCGTCATTTAGCTGCATAACCTGCATCTGACAGACTGGGACAGTCTGCCCAGTCTTACCATGAAAATCCCCTGCTTATGTGGGTGCCCACTGCTTGGATTTTTATAGTACATAATAATAAGGAAAAAGTAAAACGTGGATTATACTCATGCACTTGTGCACAAGATGGATGCAAGTAGCAATAATAGCTCTATCTAGGAGGCAGCTCCATCTAGGAGGCAGGCCTCTGGATGTTTCAAATGAGTATTGTGACTTACCACTGCTTGCATCTAAAACAAAGTCTTCAGCTCCTTGGCCAGACAGGTAAAAGTGCAGCTGGCTACTATCATCCGCGTCAGTGGCTTCAACAGTCAGGATTGCAGTGCCCACTGGAATGCTCTCTGAAACAAGCTCCGTGTACTTGGACTGCAGAAGCACAAGATGCCAACAAGAGATATTAGAGGGAGGCGAATAATATGTGTATTTTTGAAACAGTGTTCCAGACACCTCTTAGTGCTCATTTTGTGTCAACGAAATCCTTCGTTTGTAGTATGTGCACTATTACCACAATGAAAATGCTCAGCTCCAAGAACAGACTTCTGATGAAGCCATGGCCGTCTTTGTTGCGCGAATGCCGGCGCTGCGGCAAGCAATGCAAGGAGCCAATCGCAACCTGGTGAAAATTATTATTGCATTGTTCTCAAGAACAATGTCAAAAAGTCCTTTTTTTCGCATAAACTAAACTGAAAGCAATCGGGTGTATTTCATTCTTCGAATGCACTGTGATGTTCTTTTTTATTATTTGTAGCTTGAGTACTCATCAGTAATTGTACTGAGGTGCCACAGCGTCAGTAAGCTTTTGTTCCAGAATTTTCCACTTGTGACATAAAGCCCATTCCACATTTTTCTTTGGTTTTCTTGACTGCTAACGCACTTCTGTGAATAACAATTGAAGTTTTGGATGTTCTCAAACATTGAACTGTCCTTCTGGCATCCATTGTTATTGGCATTTAGTGTTCCTTTCAGCCATTGCACCTGTTATATTAGCCTAGTGAGGAACATAGTGCCTGATTTCCATTTAAGAAATGTGTGTTTTGCATAAGAGCAGTATGTATACTAACAGTATACAAAGATAACTCCACCTGCACCGAGTAAAAACTTGCACCTATGTTATCCAGCCCAGCTAAAGTATGATATTATTATTAAATTCATTTTTGGAACAAACGTCTGCTGGATATTAAGTACAGTAAACTCTATTTATGACACACTCGGTTATGACGAATTCTCACATACGCCGAACATGAAAACTTTTTTTCCTTATCTGTATTCAATAAAAAAAAAGTAAAGAATCTATTTAGGATAAACCACCTCACATGTACTATTTTATTGAAAAAACTTTTGTTAATGCTGAAGATGCTCTGAAGCAAACATTTAGGTAAACACAGAAAACAAGAAAAAAAAATAAGGCTGTGCTTTGCTGCACATGAAAAGTAAAAAAAAGAAAAGTGAAGCTGACACCTCTTGAAGCACTAATTTGGTGAGCCTGCAATAAAGTGAAAGAAAGTGCAGAAAGTTCTACTACAAGGCATAGGTCGGCAAAAGCTCGCTTAGACTCACCAAAATATTAATCACCCCGACTCACTCCGACCCTCGACTCGATCCAAGTGAGTCAACTAGATGTTCTATAATTAGCTTTTTCGACCATAATGTCAATGCTCTTTAAAACCAATACAGTCGATTCCAGATATATCCAACTCGAAAGGAATCGCAAAGTAGTTGATTATATTAGTAATTCAAAATAAAACGTATGCATATTTAAGGCCTAAATTAAAGCATTTCAGGCCTCAGAAATCGTTACAAGCACTTACATAACAATTTGCTCACAGTATAATGAAAAACAAGGGGTGAACTGCAAGTTACCGCACTTAATTTCGCATTAAAAAATAAACTCGTCCTGCTTCTAGTGGGCCATCAAGTTATAGTCATCCTAAATATCATTAATGTTTCTCAAATAAGCGAACTCAGCTCCTTCAGCCACAACAGCGTTAACTGACGCAGAACGTCGATGCAAGCTTTGTTGTGTAGTAAAAGGTTGGTTAGCAATGGCAGGAAAGGCGTTGGCATATTCATAACAGCATGGGTACACTTCCGTGGCACCGGCAATGAGAGCTATGACATTAATGCAGTCAAAAACGGCTACGTCGTCATCTTAACTGATCAAGTGGCTCACTGTCCGAGATGGTGCCGGGAAACACTGATAAGTCGCAGAATTCACTGAGACAACCTACTCCGGTTGTCAGCGGTCATGGCACACCCTAAGTCGTCACCTGACCTGCAAGGAAAGTTTACATCTGTGCTTTACTTGACGTCGCTTCAAGCGCCAGTCATAATTTTCATCGCTACGTGCGGATCATCGTTCTGTTCAACTCTCATATGAAGATTTATCAGGAATGAGAAGTACAAAAGTCAACAAGGCACGAAGGACAATGCTATGATAGCTAGGAGGGAAGGTTTGAGCAACACAGGGTATATGGTGGATGTAGCAGTTGTTCATGCCACTGAGAGATGGCACACGCGTAGGTTCTTAGATCGCTTTCTCTGGTCAGAAGCGTCATAGCACATGTATGACAAGCATACTGTGTGCACCTCCATTGCTATGTTTGCACAATCGTCCATAAAACCTTAAAGCGTGCCATGGCGTCAATAACGATGAGCAAGCCTATGAAGCACCAGATTCACTGTTTCATGCCCGGAACTCGACCGTGCACGTTTCAGCTAGAAAAAGAGGCGTCAAAAAGTTTTATTTTGCCGCTCCTGTATCTGTTTCAACAATCTGAAAGCAAATAGTGTAATGAACTTGATTTCAGCGCTAACGAAAAATTAAATGACCTGTGTTGGCTGCAAAAAACATTCCACTGATTAAACTAACAGCCTAATGAAGTTTTATGTAATTACAAGTAATGACAAGGCTGCATTTTATAGTAAACGTGGAAAACGTAGCACGAGAAAGCAGGAGGTGTTGCATTACTTGAGTTTCATTGATTGATTGCACTTTGAATTTCCTTTGATTGTTTTAGAACTGTCTCTTGCACAACATTGATGTAGAAGAAAAAGCACGTAGTTTTTAAGCCTTAGGACGCTGTCTTTGTCACTCGAGATGAAGAAAATTCACCAAACATGAAACTTCCATCTGACAGACCAAAAGTTAGTAAATTGATATGCCGGTCCTAAAAGCTGCATAGTATTTAAACGATTCACGTAGATATCATGTTCTTTCACAATTGCGAGCCTTTACCGACTCCTGAACCTATGTTTTAGCTGGCACATCGAAATTAACATGCAATGTAATCACGAAGTATGCTCCTTCCTATGTTTGCATGGCAGTAGAAATAGCTCAATGCTTTTGCCTTGCTGAATTTTGTATGTTAAGTTTATAACATCTATTGAAATTCCACATAAAAAAGTTGGAGGATCCTTGAGCCTCAGTTTTAAGAGTAATATCCTGCCCCTAGTGTGCACTTCAACCACTTGGGGCACATTTTTATTGTATGATGTTACTAGAGAAGTTACTGCAGTGTAATTGATAAAGTTGAAAGAGGCTTGTGTCAGTGAAGCTTGCACATATGACTGGGTTCCTGTAATGGGTAGCATGCTTTAAACTACGAGCAATTATGCACATGAAATGGAACCTGCTAAATGCACCCACTACATGATCTTATATGTGCAGTAACAAGTGTGCCTTTTGTAATGGGTGGCCGGCTTCAAGTCCCAAAGTTGCTATGATAATCATTAGTTCTGACGCCCAACGGCAATGCACGCTTGTACCACACAATAATACTATGATATTACATGTTTTATTGTGAAGCCTATATACAAGATGCATGTTTTTGAAAAGCATCAATGTGATTTTCCTTGCATTTCCAAGCAGAGTAAATTATATTAACTGTGTTTCCAAGCAGAGGCGTGGCTGTTTGATAGAACGTTTGCTTGCCATGAAAACTGTGCAGGTCCAAATATTACTCGGACCCAGAAATTATTATTATCCTTTGATTCGCGTGTTTCTCAATTTTTTTTGGTCATGCACAAGGTAATAATGCTGACAAGCACTGAAGTCGACACCAGCGTTGACACTGACGCCGGACTTCCTGCGAAACAAGCTTTTTAACGCTATTGTGTTAAAACTCGTTGTTTGCACGTTCTCGAAGATCCTACCATCTTGATGGCAGCGTGCCTGAAAGCTTGGCAGCAGGACACCTGCCACGAAACTCTGTGCCCGTCGTGGCAGACCGATCTAGGCTGCGACGACAGCTGCCCAGCCACTGCTGACACGATCTGCTGGTACACACGCGACTGCTGTTGCTCCCACCTCCCTTTCAAGCTAGCATAACAATGCCGAGTTCTCACTGTCACTGTGGACATGTTGGTGATATCGATGTGACACTGGGTTTTGTAGCTGGCAGCCACTGCTTTCGGTTAACGGGAAAAAAGCTAGGGCTGCTTTGATGAGAAAAGCTAGAAAAAGCATAGTCTCCAAGACTTGCATTATAAAACCGAAAACACTAAACATACGTCACGAGATTGCACATATCGAAGGCCATGCCTTTCAGGCTCACATGCACATCACATGTCATTGTGCGCTAACAAGGAAGAGAATGCGAGCATTGCAATGAGATTGCTGAGTCACTTCGCATTCTCATTTTGGTGTCCTTAGCAATCGGTCTTATTGAAAAAAACTACGAGCACGCGTTAAGACCTACATATAATGCATCAAACATATCGGTGCACTCGCCAGTCCCGCGCAACAAACCAGATCAGTGTGATGAAATAATATCGCCTTTTTGTCACCCGCACGTGAAAAGGGATCGAAACTGGTTAGTATGCGGCCGAAAATTGATCCACATTTGCTAGGAAAAATTCCCTTTTTGGGCTTCAGCGTGGCACAGCGTTTGATATAGCGGATGTCCTGCTATGCAAGAATTCGAAATACCGGTGCACCGGTCCCATACTTTTGCATGGAAATTTTAAGGAAATTTCTCAACTGTTAAATATACCCAATAATTCAATATACCAGTGTTTGATATATCCGTGACTGACTGTATCTCCCATCAGAGGTGATCTTCCTGGCGTCTTTTGGCATAAAAGCTTTGAGTACGTGTTATGAGGGTTAAGGACATTTTTCTTGCACAAGATGTGAACATAAAACATATTTATAAAGAACTTTCCCGGAACAGTTGGCAAAGAAGGGGGGGGGGGGAGAGTTATAGGTACTCCCCTATAAATTCATACCTAGCATCAATTAATATCGAAAATAGCGTAGAGACAATGCTGCTTTTAGAATATGTGTGACATGAGAGTATAAACATAAACCCAGGTAAGGCTCATAGCAATCCTGAAGATGAGTGATAGGACCATAGGACAGCAGACAA